TACCTTACAAATCTGGCTAGACCAGAAGATGTACACTGGTACAGATAAAAACTGGAAACACAGGGAATCCAGGACAGATGAGCCCCTCGGGACCACTGGTGAGAGTGGAGATACCAGGAGGGTGGAAGGAAGGTGGGGTAGAAAGGGGGAACTGATCACAAGCATCTACACATAACCCCCTCCCTGGGGACGGACAACAGAAAAGTGGGTGAAGGGAGACATCAGACAGTGTAAGACATGACCAAATAATAATAACTTATAAATTATCAAGGGTTCATGAGTGATGGGGGATGGGGAGGGAGGGGGAAAACGAGGAGCTGACACCAAGGGCTCAAGTAGAAAGAAAAGAAAAAATCAGGAAACGTGTGCCACAGGGCTGTATCCTCTCACCATGCATATTCAATCCATCTGCTGGGCAGATCATCAGAGAAGCTGGATTTATGAAGAAGAGCGAGGCATCGGGATGGTAGGAAGGCTTATTAACAACCTGAGGGAGTCAGGTGAAACAATCTTGCTTTCTGAGAGTGAGGAGGACTTGACATATTTGCTTGTGAAGATCAAGGAGTGCAGCCTTCAGGATGGATTACAATTCAACGTAAGGACAGTCCAAATCCTCACAACTGTACCAATAGGTAACATCATGATAAATGCAGAAAATCTTGAAATTGTCAATCTTTCTACATTTTCTTTCTACTTGCGAATGATGATGGCAACAAATGTACAAATGTGCTTGGCACAATGGATGGATGGATGGATTGTGATAAGAGTTGTATGAGCCCCCAATAAATGCAGAAAAGATTGAAATTGTCAAGCATTTTATCTTGCTTGCATCCACAATCAATGCTCAAGGAAGAAGCAGTCAGGAGATCAAAAGACAGTTTGTTTGGGTAAATCTGCACAAGGCCTCCCTAAGGTGTTGAAAAGCAGGGAAGTCACTTTGGGGACTAAGGTGCTCCTGACTCAAGTCATGATGTTTTCATCGCATCATATCTGCTGTGGGAGCTGGACACTGATGATTATGAGAATCTGAAGAAGACTTGATGCGTGCCTGTGGTGCTGGAGAAGAAACTGAACGTATGTGGTTTGTTAAAAGAACAAACTAGCTCTTGGTGGAAGTATGGCCCAAGGGTCCCTTAGAACAAAGATGGCAAGACTTCATCTTCTATACTTTGGACATATCTTCAGGAGAGGTCATCCCTGGAGAAGGACATCGTGCTTGTTAGCATGGTGCAGCAGTGGAAGACCCTCAAAGAGGAAGACCCTCAAGGAGATGGACGGACACGCGGCTGCAATCGTGGGCTCGGGCACAGGAACAATTGTGAGGACGATGCAGGACTGGGCAGTGTTTTCTGCTGTTGTGCACGGGGTCACTGTGGGCTGTGACTGATTCGATGGCACCTAACATCAACAACATGGACATCTGTACACAATTCCTTCTAGAAGACTCTGTGAATAATCCTCCGAGAGGAGGGTGCGTGTTGGGATTTCCAAGGGAATCTACTCAGAAGAAGCCCTGGATGGGGCCCATGGGGTACCCAATGGTTCCTCAGCCATCGGGGATCCTGAAGAAGACAAACAGCAGCAGCTCTTTGAAGCACGTGGAGGATGAAGCCAAGGGGGCGTCACGGCTCCTGAAGTTGTCTCAGGCGGGTCAGGTCACGTCCCTGGAGTCGGGTGCTGGGAGTGCCGCTGCGGTAATGTCACTGCTGCCTTGGGAGTTCAGGGTTGCCGAGCCTCCTGGGTATATCTCCTATCTCTTCTGTCTTCGGAGATCCAGAAGCCATCCTTCAATGGCAGTGAGAGAAAGAGAGATGCCCTAAAAAAAGCATATTCCATTCCTAAAGGTATAGGGGCCCTACTAGTTCTATTCTTAAGAAGGAAATACCTTACAATGGCATGTCTTCAAGTATGGGTTAATTCTGAAGTGTTATTTCTGAGAAGTGTTTGTCAATATGTGTGACTATGTGTGATAACATACCAGGCTAGGCTGGTTAACGCCAAACTAAAAAATCCCCTGCCATTGAGCGGATTCTGACTCACAGCGACCCTGTAGGACAGAGCAGAGTCCCCCGCGGCCTTCCAAAACTACATCTTTACGGGAGTCAAAACACTAGGCTTCACCTGAGGGTTAGCTGAGGGTTTTGCTTAATCCACTACACCACCAGGGCTTCCTCAGGGAAACGGCAGGTGAGGGATTAGGCTCCAGGCTGGTAAGGCTTCTGCCTCAGGGTACTGTGCGGGGCAGCCTCTGCGTGGTGGCCGCTCACAGCTGCCTGGGAGAGAGCATAAGGGTGTGACAATGCACGCAGCCAGTCTCAGCCTCTCTCAGGCTGGCTCCTGTGTGTTCACCTCTCACCGCCCCCTCCATCCCCACCCCAGTACTTTATCTACAGCTGCATCCTGGGCCTACTCTCCTGCTCAGCCTTCCTGCGAGTCAACTACGAGCTGAAGATGCTGATCATGACGGTGGCCTTGGTTGGCTACAATATCATCCTGCTGCACACCCACGCCCGCTTGCTGGACAGCTATAGCCAGGTCCTGTTCCACAAGTAAGCACCCCCCACCCCCACCTGCCCAGCCTCTCCGGGACGGTGAGACCTGGGTGTGGGCTGGGTACATGGAATTGGCTGTCATTCTCCTAACGATCACAGCAAGAGAAGGACGCGTTGAAGCAGTGGTTTAGAAAGAGTGTGTGTCGTGTGTGGATGACATATAATGGGTGCCATCAGCCCCACCTGGGAGAAGAGACAAGCTTAGGGGTGTCTAATTAAGGACAGCCAAGGGCCTCTCAGCCTCAGCACTGTTGGCATTGAAGGCGGGGTGGTTCTCTGTAATGGAACCCATCCTGTGTGTTGTAGGATGTTTAACAGGATCCCACAAGATAACAGCACAGAGGACCCTAAACGGGAAGCACAGGGAGGAAGTGGGAAGAGTGCTATCATATTTCTTTCCTGTCTTTTTAGTGACCTCATGTTTCTTCATGAACCATGCTCTTGATGCCCTCCTTCAGCGCATCTGTTATTAGTGTTCAATGCATCCAATCTGTTCTTCAGGTGTTCTCGAGATTCAGGTGGGATAGACCCAAGGTCTTACATTGTCTCTCGTGAATTTGTTTTATTTCTTTTCCAGCTTCATCTTGAGCTTACATAAGAGCAATTGATGGTCTGTTTCTCAGTCACCTCCTGGCCTGGTTTTAGCTACTGATATTGAGCTTCTCCACCATCTCTCTCCACAGAAGTAGTCAATTAGATTTTTGTGTATTCCAGCTACAGAAGTCTACGTGTATAGTCCCTTTTGTGTTCTTGACAAAGGGCATTTGCAATGAAAAGGTTGTTGGTCTTGCAAAATTCTATTATGTGCATTCTATACATCTGCATTTCTGTCACCAAGTACAAATTTTCCAACTACTGTTACTTCTTCTTCTTTGTTTCCCACTCTTGCATTCCAATAATTAGCCATGCATCTTTATTGCATGTTTGTTCAATTTCTCACTGAAGAAGTTGCTACAATTCTTTAATTTCTGCATCACTAGCTTTAGTGTTTGGTGCATAAACTTGAATATAAGCTGTATTGACTGGATTTACTGGTATGCCTATAGATATTATTCCAGCACAGACAGCATTGTGCTTTAAGATAAATCTTGAAATGTCCTTATTGGTGATGAACATGACACCGTGTGTCTTAAACCTGCCAATTCTGGCATAGTAAGCCACCTGACTGCCCGATTCAAAATGGCCAGTACTGGACCTTTTCAGATCCCAAGTTCCAATGTTATTAATGGATGTTTGCAGCTGTTTCTTCTCATTTTGAGTCATGCCTCATCAGCAAATGCAGGTCCCGAAGGCTTCACTCCATGCATGTCATTATGTTCAACTTTACTTTGAGAAGACAGCATTGTACTTCAAGGTAGATCTTGAAATACTCTTTTTTTGATGAATGTGACCCCATTCCTCTTGAGTTTGTCATTTGCAGTACAGTAAACGATATGATTGTCCAACTCAAAGTGACCAATATCAGTCCATTTCAATTCACTAATGCCTAAAATATTGATCCCTATGAATTCCATTTCATTTTGATGACTTCAAGTTTTCCTAGATTCGTAGTTTTCACATTCCATGTTCTGATTATTAATGGATGTTTGTAAATATTTCTTCTCATTTGGAGTTGTGCCCCATCAGCAAATGGATGTCCAAAAGCTTACTCCATCCATCTCATTTTAGTCAACTCTACTTCGTGACAGCTGCTCTTCCTTGGCCTTATTTTGAGTACCTTCCAACCTGCAGGGCGCATCCGCTAGCACTTTACCTGTCAGTATCCGTTGCTATCCTTAAGGTTCTTAGTCGCTAATTCCTGTCATGAGCGGTGCGATCAATAATTACTTAATGCTCTTTGACATTTTTGAATGCTCAGTTTATTCACTGCAAACACACATCGAACAATCAAATAATTCTAAAACTAACTCAAATTATCAAATATAAAAACATTACAGCAAATGTCAAGGTATAAGGGCAACACACTACACACATTATTATTTCAGCATCATAGTCCCAAAAAGCATTACCTTTATTGGTGTACTCACCCTGGGGAGAGTTGGAGAGAGCAGGAGTTGATGTCTCCTTGGTTCCCAGCTGTCTGAAAAGTCAGTGTCTCTACCCAGGTTTATATAGGCAGGTCAGCTGGCCACTTGATGTTATTCTGGAAATTCCGTGGTGTCCCGCCAAGTCTTATCAGGGTCTCCCAGACTTTCAGGGGTGGCTCTTTAGACCATCTGTTGGTTCTTGGCAGTGGCTCAACATTTAGGCTGGGCCTAAAGATTATATTTTCATTTCTTTTCCGAAATGGAGTTTCTTGTGTCCACATCTTGCAATATGATGCTCTCATCAAATTCCTCAGAAGTGGACAGCCTAATCCTTTTTAGTTGTCTGTCTTAGTCTGACATTTCAGCTGAAACCTGTTCTCCTTGAGTGACTCTTATTGTGTTTGAAGTACCAGTGGATAGCTTCCAGCATCACAATAACAAGCAAGCCACCCTCCACCCTGGTATAGACAAGTGATGTGGGGGGCGGGGGGCGGGGGGGGAGGCATATCTGAGCTGCAGAGTGCAAGGGTGGTAAAGGGGGGCAGCAGGGAGCAGCGGCGACCCTCACTGTGGGGGGTCTTCTTGGCATCCTGAAGGCCTCCTCAGGGAGTAGGGTCCTGGTGTCAGACTCATTTCCCCCCAATCAGTACCCTCTGGAGATCTGATGTACCTCAATCAAGTGGTTCAGGAGTAGTATTCTCACTTCCATGTAGGAGACCCAAGTTTGTTTTCCAGGCAACACACCTGTTCCACCGTCATCACCTGTCTTTCTGTGGAGGCTTGCGTGTTGCTGTGAGACCAGACAAACTTCAGCAAATCTTCCAGAGTAAGATGGACTGGGAAGAAAGGCCTACTGATCTACTTCCAAGATCCAACCAAAGACAGATAGCCCTATGGATCACCAGGCTTATCCACAGCTGGACAGCACCGGACTGGGCAGTGTTTCTTGCCAACTCAACAGAAGTTAACAATGAGTGTACTTGTATGAGTCTGGGTTGACTAGAGAAACACATCGATGAACGCTCACATGGGTAGAAGAAAGCTTTATATACAAGAACAGTTGAATATTGAGAAAACATCCCAGCCCAGTCCAGATCAATCCATAAATCCGATATTAGCCCATATGTCTGATACCAATCTATAAAGTCCTCTTCACACTCACTAAACACACGCAATGACGCCGAATTCAGGAAGATCACAGGCCAGTGGGTGGAAAGTCTTGTGGATCCAGTGGTGATAGAAGCATCTCAGTGCTGACATGGGTCTCCACATGGCTCCTCCTGCTCCAGGACTCCAGCAGAGCTCCATGTGTCTAGTCAACAGGAATGTCTCGCATGGGAGTGCTTCTGTGTCCCATCTCCAAAGAGCTGTTTATCTCCATCATGCCTCCAAATGAGGTCATCAAGCTGTGACCTGATTGACAGGCCAGACCCCACTCCTTCCTCAAGTTGGCAGATTATGTAACTGCCACAGACTACCCCTTGTCAACTTGACACTATTTCACAACTCTTTAGCCAGACATAATTTCTAACAGAACAATAATAAAACCATATCTGTACCTAACAGGATAAAACTAAAAAGCATACAATTTAGTATATGCCATCCTCATTTAAAAATACTATACTATAAGTGGCAAAACAACAATATTCTATGCCTAACAAGTGCAGTTAAGTAACACCTACACCTTAATCCTATAATCCTATGAATATATTCCCCAACCTATGAAAGTTTTTGTAAATCAACCACTTTATCCTCCCCATTTTGTGTATCCAATTTCTATACTGCCCACTTACATTAACTCAGTGCTCTGAGGAGACAATCATATTCTTGGATGTGAAGAATTTTCATTCCAGTTGGAACCTTAAAGTCTGCATCCATAAGCAAAATCAAATCAGGACAGAACATCCCTTAAATCAGCAGCAATATACACCAGTTCACAGGCTCAAATATCTTCTCTTCATCTGGTTAGGTTCTGGTCAACTCAATGTGGGCTGCCTCACCTAATGTCAGCAGAGTGCCCATTGGCTGCTTTGCCTTTTAGACCATGGGCCCCATCACAAATTCTCAATAACCCTTGCCCCCTTAGGCTGGGTCATGAACTTCAAACCTGTCAACCCGCTGTCATCTTCTCCTCTAGTTCCTGTAAATCAGATCCATGGATGTCAGTGGCCAGATTCAACCCATTTCTTTATTGCTTCATTTCTCCCATTTCCACTCAACAAGTGGATCCAGGAGGTCACCTAGCAAGCATGTTAGCCCACCCACAGGCTCCTTTTAACGTTCAGGAGTTTTCTTCGTGGCTTTAGATTTTTTCCAGCTTCTGACAAAAACCACTAGTTCAAAATTTAAAAATCCAAAGAGTTCCTTTTTTTGTCCCCTCTTCAATCAATCAACAGTCAAGTCTCTTAACCTTCAAATGCCCTTCTCACTCAAGACACTGGGTGGGGTTTATCTTTTCAGAGCCTTCTTTGTAGGTGTGCCCTAAACCCACTTAAAGATCCAATTTTAATGGCTGAAGACAAGTAGGCTTACAAGCTCTCTATTTTCATACTTCCCAATAATCATTTCTACTAATCATTATATCAATAACAATAAGCAGAAGAAATCAGTATTAACAAAGTATAATCAGATACTAAACTCAATTCTTAAAACCGTCAAGTTCAATCCTTATTTAGCTTATCTAAATCCTTATGTAAACTATTCTATTGATACAAAATATGAGATTAGGCCTCTGGCAGCATCAAGCCAGAGCCAGGCTTTCTGTCGGCCATTGGACCTTCAGTCAGCCATTTTCACTAAGCAGCTCTGAGAAATGTAAGGGCCAATTTTGCCACCCGAACTTGAGAATCACATTAATCACAATCATTTTCAGCATTTCAGACAGGATTAACCAAAGACAATTTCTAGGAATCAAAACTTTAAATTCCCATATTCTTTCCAGAAAGCAACGTGGTGAACTGCACAGCCATATCTGACCTCTGGCTAGCCAAAGGAGAAAAACTACCATGAGGCCGGGGTCAAACAAGCATCCACTCTCCATCTTCATGATCTGTTTCTCTAGTACCTCAATCCAAAGGTACCATAATGTGTGTATGAGAGAGTTTTATATGAAAGAGAAATTGTACATTAAGAAAACATCCCAGCCCAGTTCAGATCAAGTCCAATATTAGCCCATATGTCAATACCAATCTATAAATCCCTCTTCAGACTCACAAAACACATGCAGTGATGCCGAATGCAGGAGAATCACAGGCCAGTGGGTGGAAAGTCTTGTGGATCTAGTGGTGGTGGAAGCATCTCAGCACTGGTGTGGGTCTCCACACACCTCCTCCAGCTCCAGGACTCTAGCATAGCTCCATGTGTCTTAACAGAAATGTCTCGCCTCCAGCAAGCTGTTTATCTCCGTCATGCCTCCAAATGAGGTCATCAAGCTGCAACCTGATTGACAGGCCAGACTCCACCGCTTCCTCAAGTCAACAGATTATGTAACTGCCACAGTACTCTTACCTACCCAACAAAAACTATGTTTCTTTGAGTATTTTTTCCCTAAAATATAGATGTCATATATTTTTCTAAGTTTTGTTTTGTTTTTAAGTCGGATAGTTTTGAGTCTGTCTAATCTCTTTCTCTCTGGAGAGCCATGACAATGACAGCTCCACCTCACCTGAACTGCCTGCCTTGGGGTTATAGACCCGCTCCCTGGGTTATTCCTGCAAAGTTCTCTCCAATTTGTGCTGTTATTTGGGCCTTCTGGACCCAAGGGACACAGTGGTTGTTCCAACAGCAGCCTTGGGCAAGAGAATCAGCTGTCCATTGGTATACGGCCACAGGCATGGCTGAGTGGCCAAATCCCCCAGACACTAAAGGAAGCCTCTCTGGCCAGCCCTTGGGAACAACTGTAGCAGAGATGGAAGTGCCCTAACTTCTCCTGTAAAGTGAGCCGTGTTTTCCTCACACACCCAGGGCAGTGAGTGCACTGGCATTAGGGTTTTCAAGCCCAGGGAAGGCTCTATTCTGGAAGCTGAAAGAGAGAGAGACTTCACTGCTAAGTAGCTGTCACATTCGTATAAATGACCAGTACAGATGTCAAAACTGACCAGAGTCTCTCAAGCAAACATTGTGAGATTTTACTGTACCCATTCTAAGAACTCTCCCCATCATCCAGCTCTGCTGTTGTTGGCATCCACAGTTCTATGCCAAAGGGAGAAAAGTAGCGACAGTGGCAGAGATGGCACAGAACTTGGCATGGCTTCATTTGGTTGAACTTGGGGGTCACTCCATGTTAGAACCTAACAATGACAACATAAAATCCTAGGCGCCCTCATAGCCAGGGTTGGGAGAGAGACTAGTGTTTCCCTCCCATTAAGGCCTGTGATACAGCATGGAGTGAAACAGGGGAAGAAGAATAGGGTCCTCCTGAAGCCACCTTGGACTCTTCCATTCATAGGCAGGAACAACCAAAACCAAACCCGCCATCCAGAGGACAACTGTCCCAGTGGGTTTCCAAGGTTGTAATCTTTATGGAAGCAGACAGCTATATAGTTCTCCCACAGAGCCACTGGTGGATTCAAACCACTGACCTTTCCATTACCATCCCAGCACAGCACTGTTCCACCAGGGTGTTGATAGTCCACAGTAGCTGATGGAGATGAAATTCCCAACTTCACTCTCATAGTGTTTATGACTATGTAGTTTAGGCTTACCGTTTCTTTCTTAAGGATCTCTAGAAGTACTGTGGGTCAGGAGTTGGGCTGCTAACTGAACAGTCAGTGATTCAAATCCACCAGCCACCTCTTGGGAGAAAGATGAATCTGTCTGTTCCCAGAAAGATTTACAGCCTCAAAAACCCTATGTAGTGTCACTGTGAGTCAGGAATTATTCAATTGCAGTGGGTTTGGTGTCTTTCCTGGAGCAAGAACTAGAAAAATTAAGAATTTATATTTCACGGTCCATCTCCATCCCAGAAGAATAAAGAGAATATGATACGTACCCTTCCTCTCCTCCCTGTACATTGGTTGGAGCTTGGGGTAAAGGAAGACGTGGCGATTAGTTTGGGAGAATTGTTTCTTCTATTATCCTCTCCCAGTAGGGCTTGTCTGGTTTGGCTTGAGTGCAGTCTGGCTGTGAAGATGTACGTGTGTTAGGGTTAGCGATGCCTTAGATCCTGGTATGCTGAAACACACATTCTAAGTCCTGTGTGTTTGTTGTGTTGTCATGTTTCTGTCTGTCTGTCTGTCTGTCTGTTTTTTTCAATAGACCAGGCATTTGGAAAGACTTAAAGACCATGGGTGCGGTGTCTCTCTCTATATTCTTCATCACTCTGCTTGTTCTGGGTCGGCAGGTAAGAAGTCCATTACCTCTGATTCCTTTGCTGCGTGCCCCGTGTGCGTGCATTGTGGTTACTTCCATGCCAACCAATGCTTAGAAGCCATCTCATCCCTTAACAGAAAGGTCACCAATCTTTTTCTCCTCCCCAGATAAGGGTGCTTAGAAATAAGCCAAAGGAAAATTCATGTCCCCCACCCCTCATGAGGCAAACTTGGTGAATAGCATAGGTGTAAATCCATTCACTCCTGCGAGCCCTTTTGGGACTTGTGGGACATATAGTGCCCATCTACTTTCTTCACTCCAGGGGTTTACTGGGAAACTAGCATCCAACTTTTAGGGGCACTTGTATAATTACATGAATCTAAAGATAATAGACTTCATCCCACCAACTTCAGTACCAGAGACCCCTTTGGACCTATGTGTCCACTCAAAACCTTAGTGCCATTAAGTCAATGCCAACTCATAGTGATCTTATAGGGTAGAGTAGAATCACCCTGTGGGGTTCCAAGACTATAACTCTTGACAGGAGTAGAAAGCCTTATCTTTCTCCTGTGAAGAACCAGGTAGTTTTGAACTAAAGACCTTGCAATTATCAGCCCAACACATAACTACTACACCACCAGGACTCCACATACAACCCACTGTTGTGTCAAGATTCCAATTACCTCAAAAGCTTTAAAAATTTTTCATTTCATTCAAAATTCCCTCCATCACTAAAAATACATGCCTTCAAAATATTCAAAGCAGAAACAAGTTCCATATTGAAGGGGTATAATATCAAAGTTAATGTTGGCAGGTACGGGTTTGGCAGTGAGCCATCACAGCTGCCCCTCTGTGGGAACGTCTGCTGGCCTGAATTTGCACTTCACATTCAGGTGCTTGGCTTCCTCAGGAGTGAGCATGAACACCTCCACTGGCTTCCTCGCTGCACCATGAATGGTCCTTTGCTCTGAGATGGGGTGGACTTTGTGATGATGATGTAGTAGTGGCCTTCCTTAGGACCTAGCTCCCCAGACTGTGAGGGTGATGATTTCCAGGACAGTTATTCTTCCTTTGTCTATGCAGGAGATAAGTCCCAAAGCCTGCAAGACTCTCCCCAGTGCTCAGCCTCAACAAAGCCTGATTGAAGTGTTTCAATGGTCACTGTAACAGGGGAGGGGAAAAAATGATGTACTAGGGGCAACAAAGAGTTTGTAGAAAAATTCCATTATCATTATGTCCCATATCCCCACGAATTTTTCAAAGTACTCTCATATTTGGAGCTAAGTAATTATGAGACATTGATGTGTGAATTAAGGAGCCTTTGGTGATGCCGTGTGTTAGATGTAGGACTGCTAGCCAAAAGGTTAGCAATTCAAAGCTACTAGCCACTCCTTGGGAGAAAGATGAGGCTTCCTGCTACCATAAAGATTCACATCTCAGAAACATCAGAATTGACTCCATGGTACTGAATCATGCTGGGCTGAGTGAATTATATGTCCATGACTAAGTGGGTAAATTAACCAGCATGGCTGCTAAATGAAAGGTCCACAGTTTAAACCCACCCAGTGGCTCTGTGGGAGAAAATACCTGGAACTCTGCTCCTGTGAATATATCATCCATATAAACCTAATGGAGTAGCTCTTCTTAATTCCATTGGGTGGCTATGAGTTGGAATCTACTTGACAACTCAATAGTAACATATTTATCTGAGGGGCAAACTTGAATCCTGAGGTTGTTCGTGGCTCCCACTGAGCAGAGTTGTCCCACTGAAGTGAGGATGTCCCACTGAAGAGAGTTTTGCTACTGAGAAGGAGTGTTCCACTGAGCTAGGAATGTCCCACTAGTGAAGGGTTTCTACTGAGGAGGGATGATGTCCACCATGGAGGAGTCATGTCACTGAAATGAGGTGTCCCACTTAGGTGGGGATGTCCCATTGAGGAGGAGTGTCCATTGGAAGGGTTTCCACAGAGATGGGATGTCCCACTGAGAAGTGTGTCACTGACATGAGGATGTCCCACTTAGGAGGGATTTTCTGCTGAAGAAGGGTTTCCCACTGAGGAGGTGTGTCCCACTATGGTGGGGGATATCCCAATTAGAAGGGTGTCCCACTGGAGAGGGGTTCCCCCCGGGGGGGTGGGGGGTGGGGTGGGGTGGAGATATCCCCCTGAGAAGGGGTGCTTCATTGAGGTGAAGATGTTCCACTGCGGAGGCATTCTCAGTGGACACAAGGGAAGGGACTTCCTCAACAAAGATGCTCTAAATGGCCTTGCTCAAGACTCTAAATAGCTGTCCCTTGGAGGGGCTGTGTACTGCTCCTTTTCCATCACTGACTGCAGTGTGACACCCCCCACACTCTATCCCCACTGAGTTCATGCTTGGATGGCCTCCTGGCCATATGTTCCAGACTCTGCTAGAGCCTGTTGCTCAGCTAGAGTAGATTGTGCGATCCACTGGCCAACAATGGATGGATTGCTCTGAACTTGGCATGAGAAGAAAAGTTCACCTTGGCAAAGGTTGTGGTTGGAGCCCTCTTTCAGTCCATGGAGTTGGTTCCCAGCTCCTGGATCCTGCTTGTTAGAAGGAGTTCTAAGTGCTTACAATGAGGAATAGGCTCTCACGACGAGCTCAGTGCTCTTCATATGGACCCCTAGCTTCTGGAAACTGCCCCAGGCACATTAGCTGGAGGTGCCCAACCTGGCTTGTGGCATTGTCTCCAACTTACAGGCACTGATCTCTAGTTCTGCATACATATCTGTGACTTCTCGGGCCATGACCTCTGTGACCTCCTGTCCTTTCACTGAAGTGCCAGTCATGCCACTGGTCTTTCCAAAAAGAATAGAAATACATTATCTGTTTCTCAAGTGAGACTCTTTTGTCTAATAAGTTCTTGGCACTATTTATATTAAAACTCAATCAAACAACCAAGCCATTAAATTGCTTCTGACTCACAGTGACCCTAGATGATAGGGTTTCTGGGACTGTGTACCTTTGCATGGACAGTTAACCCCATCTTTCTCTCACAGAGTGGCTGGAGGGTTTGAACCACCAACCTTGCTTGGAGTTATCAGCCCAATGCCTGACCCATAACACCACCAGGACATCTTCTGTTAGTACAGAGTATGGAAAAATTTGCGTTCATGTAAAATGTTTAACATAAACTTTAAAATTTTTTTATTTTGCAGATGAAAATATTTGACCATGAGAGATAAAAATAAATGTGACAGAGGGATAACAAAAAAAACAAATGTATTACTATCAAGCCAATTCCAACTTTTATCAAACCTGTAGGACAGATTAGAAGTGGCCCTTTTCCCTTCCTGTGCTGTAAATCATTATGGAAACAGAAAACATTATCTTTCTCCCCTCCTCAAGAGTAGCTGGTAGGTTTGATCTACAAAACTTTCAGATAGCCACCAACTATCTAACCCCCTGCACAACTAGGGCTCCCACACCAAGAGTGAAAGGGTCAATTTTGGGGTCTCATGCATAAATCAATATTGATCTTTTTTTTTTCAAATTTAAAACTGTGAATTTTTTTTTATTTCCATCTGTGAATGAGTGTGCATGTGTGTGTGCATGCTTTATCTTATAATATCATTGATATAATTCATTAAGCCAAGAACAAAACTCTTTTTTGTTCATCTGAACCACACTTATTTGTCAGATGAGTCAGGACGTGAGCCCTGTGAAGGCCGTCTTTACGTTGTTGGCTTATTTGCATTGACTCCCTGTCACTGTGGTCCCCACTCGCCTTGACACTGCAGGCAGAGCAGAACTCGGCTCAGCCTTTATGTGAGTAGATCACCAGGTCTTCCTGCCACAGAGCTGTTGGTGGCTTCAAACCACAAACCTACCCACCAACCTACCACAGGGCAGCCAAGTGCTTCACCAACACATCTTCTTGGCTCCTATTCACATTACGAAAGCCACGCATGCATACACAAAATACCAAAAAGACGCTTTGTCAAAAAACAGGCCTCTTCATGACTCAGCCCTTTATCACAACCAGCGAGAAAAGGGAAAGTCTAAACACCTTCCAGAACGTGAAATATGTTTGGTTAGCAGGCACGATCCTCATTAAGAGATATCAAGATGAATTTTGTCTTAATTCCATGGCATTCTTGCAGGGACCTTTAACCACGAGCTGAGGAAAAATATTTTACAATGAATCCTGAAAAACATGGCCTGAGGGAGGAAAGCGGCCAGTAGCCCCTGTGACCTGGGAACCCCACCAGTGGCCACTGTCGTCTTTAAAGTCCGACTCATTCTGCTCCGAGCGGGCTCTGCCAGCCTGTTTTTCATTTCTTCATTTACTCCTTACTTGCCTTTTTCAAAAAGGAGCCCTGGTGGCTCCCTCGTGTCAGCTTTAGGCTACAAACCGCAAGATCAGGGGTTCAAACCCACCAGCCTCTCTGTGGGAGAAATATTGGACTATCTGCTCCCATGATGACTGACAGGCTTGGGAACCCTCTCTATAGGGTTAGTTGCTGTGAGTCAGAATTCACTTGATGGCAGTGGGGTTTTGTCTCTTTCCAAAAAGGAGTCTAACACACCTCTACTGAGGTGCCCGTGCAGGAAGCTGGTGTGTGTTGCACTCCAGGCCGCCAGGCCGCTGTTCTCCCACTCCGGGTCTCCTCTTTTTCCTTAGTATTCTTTTGCTGTTGTGTGTGTTGAGCGTCTGTGGACGTGTTATGTGTTTTTGCGTGTGCTGTTTGCGTGTGTGTGATAATCTGTGTGTCTGTGTGCCTGTGTCTATGAAGATACGTGAGTCTGTGCCTGAGCGTCCGTGTGTTTGCATGTGTGCCAGTCCTTCGAGTGGCAGCGGAAGGATATTGGCAGAGTCTCCGTGGCGCGGGGGATTGAATTGTGTTGGCTCTCTTTGGGGGTGTCCCTCTCCGACAGGACAAGGTGCCTATTGTGTCTCTCCCTCTGTGTCCTCCTGTAACAGAATGAATATTACTGTAGGTTAGACTACCTGTGGAAGAACAAGTTCAAGAAAGAGCGGGAGGAGATCGAGACCATGGAGAACCTGAACCGCGTGCTGCTGGAGAATGTGCTGCCCGCGCACGTGGCGGAGCACTTCCTGGCCAGGAGCCTAAAGAATGAGGTCAGGGGCAGGGCCAGGGATGAAATGGGAGGGGGTGCAATGCCATAGGTGGAGCCTGGGGAATAGGGGTGGGGTCAGGTGCCAGCCTTAGAGAACCAGGTTGGACTTGGGCCCCGTGGGGCAGGGCCTGAAGAACTAGGTCATGGGTGGGGCGGGGGTGGGGCCTGAAGAACTAGGTCATGGGGGGCGGGGGTGTGGCTTGAAGAGCGCCACACTGGAGGAGGGGCTGTAGAACAGGGGCAGAGCCCAGGAAAGTTCCTAAAGGAGTAGTGAGAGGGAGTGGCTGGGATAGGGTTGGGCCTGAAGAGGAAGGTTGGGTCTGCGTGAGGGCCTGCGGGCCTGCAGAAGAAGGTCGGGGGTGGGAGGGGCTTGAGAAAGGGGTGAAAGTGGTGGAGTCTGGAAAGTGGGGTTGGAGGCCAGGGCCAGGAGCCTGAAGAAGGAAGTCAGTGGGCCACCAGCAGCGCCAGGGACAGGCCCAGGCCCAGTGTGTCCCAGCTCTCCACAGGACCTGGGCCAGTCCTTGGCAGCCACTTGGGAGCCAGGAATTCTTTTTGAAGGACTGGGTATGCCTGTGTGTGTCAGTCTGGGTTGACTAAAGAAACAAATTAATAGACACTCATTGGTGTAAGAGAGCGTTTCATACCAAAGAGTAATTACTCTGAGTAGTCGAGTATAAGCCAACTCGAATATCAGCCGAGGCACCTCATTTTACCACAAAAACTGCATTAAAAATGTGCTGAAAAAACCTCAGCTTATACACAAGTATGTATTAAGCCCAGTCCAGATCAAGTCCATAAATCTGATATTAGCCCATATGTACTATACCAGTCTATAAATTCCTCTTCAGACTCACATAACAAATGCAATGATGCAGGAAGTTCACAGGCCAGTGGGTGGAAAGTCTTGTGGCTCCAGTGGTGGTGTAAGCATCTCAGTGCTGACATGGTTCTCCCCATGCCTCCTCCAGCTCCAGGGCTCAGACCCCATCAGCATAACTCCATGTGGCTTGTCAGCAGGAATGTCTAGCAGAGAGTCTAGGCCTGGCCTCCAGGGAGCTATTTATCTCTGCAGAGCCTCCAAATGAGGTCATCAAGCTGCAATCTGATTGACAGACTCAACTCCACCCCTTCACTCTTAAGTCTCAAGCTGACACTAGATTATGTAACTACCACACTGTGGTTCATCGTTAAATGACTGTCCAAGGAGTGGTCACACTCCAGTTTCCTTCTCCAAACAGAGGCCCTGAGTGTACTGGGTGAGGTAAGATGGTCACCGCCTGCAGCCAAAGCAGACTCAACCCACTGCTAGTCTGTGGTAGGGCGTCACCAGTGTGCAGTGCTGCTGAAACAGAGATGCCGATAGGGGTGCCTTTCACACACAGAAAGTTACCTTCCAAGAGTTGAGGAAGCAAGAAGCCCCAGTGCAGGCCACCAGCTCTGGAGAAAGGCTGCCTGTCTTGGTGGCCTTTGGGGAAGGTCCTTGTGTCTACTGAGCTTCGGCTCCTGGGCATCTCTCTTCTCCTTAGTTCAATTGTTCAATCTCTTTTATCACCCAAGACCCATCTGACACTAATCCTGCCCAATTAACATAACACAGACAACCTGTTCCCAGATGGGAGTATGACCACAGGCACGGAGATTGTGACCAACAACTTGTGTTCTGGGGTGGGGTGGGCATAGTTCACTGCATGGTAGGGGACCAGTTCAAGAGGTTCATGCTACACGTACCCATCACACAGATGTGTGGTTTCCCTTCTCGCTGCTTCACAGAAAGCCCCTTACCAAAGAGAACGCATGCCTTCTAGTCAACTCCCACTCCCACACTGCATGTGTCAGAGTAGAACTGTGGTCCACATGGATTTCAGAAGCTGAGTTTTCAGAACAAAATCACCAGGCCTTCCTTCCAGGGTACCTTTGGGAGGACTGAGGACTCTAATCCTCATGGTACCATCTACCGCTTTAAGCAAGCAAGTGTGCAAACCATATGCAGAAGAGGAGAGTCACAGGAGCACCTGCGTCCTCCGATTGTGCAGGACCTAAACTGCGTGGAGAACAGGGAGCCTCTCTACACATAATGCTCCAGTATCTGACACCAGAGACAAAAACCAGGTTCAGAGGGGAGCGGGCAGCATCTGGTACCAGGATTGGAGGAAGGCTTATTAACAATCTGCGATATGCAGATGATACAACATGACTTGCTGAAAGTGAGGAGGACCTGAAGATCAAGGATGGCTGCCTTCAGTATGAATAATGAATTACATTATTAATTATGAATTACAACTCAATGTGTAGCACTCCAGCCAGCTGGGAGCTACCTACGACATGCAGAATAACTGCTCCAGACAGGAGATTGAGCCATGAGGGAGAGGGAGAAGCACTGATAGGAGAGAAGACCTCCCGAGCTTCTCTGCTCACCCAAGGATGAGGTTCACAAAAGGTCAAATGCAAGGGCTATTCTAGGGCACAATGACTGCAGGCTCAAGACATGTTCATGATTCATAATGAATAAACATGTTCATGATTCATAACTAATGGATAGTCTCACACACATGCACATTCTGGCCTGAGGGAGTTCCTTGTGTCTGCAGCCAGGAACCTCCTTGTCACTCAACGTTTGCATCAAGTTCCTAGAGCATGCAAACAGTCACCTACTCAAGGTTTACTCACAGGCTTTGCACACGGATCAGTAGGTAGCCTGATAAATGGAGAAAAGTTTGACGTCGAGGATTTCATCTTGCTTGGATTCACAATCAATGCTCGTGGAAACAGCACTCAAGAAATCAAAGGAAACATTGCATTGGGTAAATCTGCTGCATAAGACCTCGTACCGTGTTGAAAGGACGTGACTTTGAAGACTAAGGTGCACCTGACCCAAGTCATGGTATTTGCAATAGTCTCACGTGCATGTGAAAGTTGGACGTTAAATAAAGAATCTGTGCATTTGAATGCTGGTGCCGGTGAAGAATCTGGAAAGTACCACGGACTGCTCAAGGAACAAACAAAGTAGTCTTGGAAGAACTTCTGCCAGAAAGCTCCTCCGAGACAAGAACGGTGAGACTGCCTCACGGACTTTGGACATACCAGGACAGGCCACCCCGGGAGAAAGACATCGTGTTTGGTAAAGTAGAGGGGCCTTGAAAAGGAGGAAGACCTTCAACAAGATGGATTGGCACAGTGGCTGCAACAAGGAGCTGAAACATACGCGCAGCTGTGAGGATGGTGCAGGACCTGGAGGTGTTTCTTTCTGTGGCACGCCAGGGTGTTCTTGTTCTATGAGTTCAAACAGACTCAGCAGCACCTAATAACAATATTTAGGGACTCACTGTGTTTCCCTCCTCTTGGTTAAAGCAAACTATTTTGCTAAGTCAGGAGTGGCAACTTGTTAGTGTCTGTGGCAGTGATGGCCAGGGCCCCTTGGGTAACTGCGTGGTACCTCAGGAGGCTCACTTGAGTCCGCGGTTGGGTTCCTTGGATGTGTAAACAGTGAGGCACTCTTAGCTGCTGACTGGAAGGTTCTCATCCACCCAGAGGTGCCCAAGAAGAAAGGCCTTGCATTCGACTGCAGAAAACCCACCTGGGAGCGTGGAGGAGCACAATTCTGCTCTGACACACATGCGTGAACCCCAGGCAGAGTCTGTTCTTGGGAAACTAACTGTATGGGTGTGTGTGGGGTAGGTTGGTGAGTGGATGGGTCAATGTAGGCCTGAGGTTGGGGTGATGTGAGTAGGAATAGTCATCAGGTGTGTGGGGGGAGTCGTTGGTGGAAAGAATGAGTTTAAGTGGGGCTGGGTGGGTGGATGAGTAAATGGTGAGTGGATAGGTTAGTGGGTGGGTGGGTGGGCTGAGGTGGGGTGATGGGTGTTTGGTTGAGTTAGTGATGAGTGGGTGGGTGGGTGGTTGAGTGAGTGATGAGTGGGTGGGTGGGTGGTTGAGTGAGTGTTGAGTGGGTGGGTGGGTGATTGAGTGAGTTATGAATGAATGATTGTTAGTTGACTGAGTGATGAGTGGCTGGTTGTTGGTTGAGTGAGTGTTGAGTGGGTGGGTGGGTGGGTGGGTGGGTGGTTGTTGGCTGAGTGAGTGATGATTGGGTGATTATTGGTTGAGTAAGTGGTGAGTGGATGTTGGTTGAGTGAGTAATGAGTGGGTGGTTGTTGGTTGAATGAGTGATGAGTGGGTGGGTGTTGGTTGAGTGAGGATGAGTGGGTGGTTGTTGGTTGAGTGAGTGATGAGTGGGTGGGTGTTGGTTGAATGAGTGATGAGTGGATAGTTGTTGGTTGAATGAGTGATGAGTGGGTGGGTGTTGGTTGAATGAGTGATGAGTGGGTGGGTGTTTGTTGAGTGAGTGATGAGTGGGTGGGTGGGTGTTGGTTGAGTGAGTGATGAGTGGGTGGGTGTTGGTTGAGTGAGTGATGAGTGGGTGGGTGTTGGTTGAGTGAGTGATGAGTGAGTTGATGGGTTGTGGTTGAGTGAGTAATGAGTAAGTTGGTGAGTTGTGGTTGAGTGAGTAATGAGTGGGTGAGTGATTTGTTGCTTGAGTGAGCGATGAGTGATGAGTGGGTGGTTGTTGGTTGAGTGAGTAATGAGTGGGTGAGTGGTTTGTTGTTTGAGTGAGTGATGAGTGGTGGGTGGGTTGTTGGTTGGGTGAGTAATGAGTGGGTCGGTTGGTGGTTGCTCAGTAGGCCTGGGGCTGAATTTGAGTGGTTTCTTGTTCAGTAGGTAGTTGGTGGGTGGGTGGGTAAGAGTGGACCTTAGGTTGGGATGGTGTGGGTGGAAGTGGGCATGGGGTTTGGAAGGGGTGGTTGGTTGATAGGTAGGTGTGAGTGGGCCTCCGTGTGTGATGGGTGGGTGTGTTATTGGTTGGTCAGTGCATGATGGGAGTAGTCCGGGCTGGGCTGGGGGAGGGCAATGTGGTTCTCGGGGGGCCTCTCGACAGAGCCTGGCATGCAGACGCCTGTTGGTCTAAGAGGCTGGTCAATTGTGGGGGAGGCCAGTCCCTCACACTATCACGGGTTCAGTAAGCACAGTTGTACGGTTAAGGTATATAAAGATTATAGTAAAGTTATAGAGAAATTAGAGAGATGGGAGAGAGAGAGAGTAAAATAAAGAAGTCAGACACATTTCATGATAGCATGCTCACCTCCTGGATGGCCGTGATCTCAACAGCCAGATTTGTGCACAGCATGGTCAGACAGGGCAGGATAGGTCTCTTTATTTCTGGCCAAGACCCATATTTACTTAGGGGGCATGATTGCAGGTAACCACACACATCATAGGAAGGGGCTGTACAATAGGCATAAGAGTGACAGGAAGGGGAGAGCTAGGGATGTACACGTAATCAGAAGGAGAGGGACTAAGGTTATACTTGTGACAAGAAGGGGGGACCCTAGATTCATGATGGCGGCCTAGCCTTGATTGCCCTTGAGCTGGAGACTTGATTTAGTCTAAGCTTTCAGGGGAAGCCATCCACTGTCGCTAACAGCAGGGAGTGAGCCCCACATAGGGTGGGACAGAAAATAGGGTCTGCTTGCTCGGGATGGCTGATGCCTGCAGGGAGATAACTTGACAATCATTTACCATTAGTTTCAGGCAGTGTCCTAGGTCTGACATACATATTTGGGGGAGACGAGCTGGGGAACAGTCTTTTTATATTGCATATTCAACAGGCCTCTCCCCCCCACCCCCACCCCCGGGCAGGAGCTGTACCATCAGTCCTACGACTGCGTCTGCGTCATGTTTGCATCGATCCCAGATTTCAAGGAGTTCTACACGGAGTCGGACGTGAACAAGGAGGGTTTGGAGTGCCTCCGGCTCCTGAATGAGATCATTGCTGACTTTGATGATGTAGGTGACAGGTTGGAGATGGAGGCGTGGAACAGAGATAGAATTTAGCCAGGAATGTGAAGTTGAGAAAGATTTTATTGAGGCAGGGAAAGAACTCCTGGGAGGGAAGGGAGGGCAGGGAAAGGGATGGGGGCATCTTGAGCCCCTGGGCGGGTTCCGAGACCCAACGAGTTAGGTCAGGGAAATCGCATCTGGTACTGGGGCAGTGGGGCAAATATAGGGTATGAGCTGGTAAGGGAAAGGGAGGTTCTTTGTGCTGCAGTTGCAAGTTTCAGGCCAAGTGGCATTTTGTTAGTAAATCATGTTGTTCCTAGGAAACAGTGCTAGTTGGGGGGGGCGGGGGGGCATGTTCTGTCCGGGGAGGTAAGCTCTGTGAAATGCTGAAGGCAGGTGCTTTGAAGTTCAGGTGCTTTGAAATTCAGCCAGGTCATTTGTCTTCTCAAGAAGCTGGTACAAGGGGCTGCCTTGGTCTGGACCTGGCCCAAACAGTAGGTACCAAGGTTCCCCAATAACGACGTTGTATCTGTGCCCTGAACCTTGGTGTCATTGGCTGCTGGCTGCCAGGTAGCACCCTGACTGTTTTAGCAGCAGGAATACATATTGGGCTTCTCACTGCAAGATCCGTAGTTTGAAACTACCAGCAGCTCTGCAGGAGAAAGTGGAGGCTTTCTGCTCTGTTCTCTGAATCCCCCAGGGGCAGTTCCGCCCTGTCCTACAGGGTCGCTCGGAGTCAGCATTGACTCCAGGGTGGTGAGTTGGGTTTTTTAATCATTTTATTGGGGGTTCGTACTCTTATCGCAATCCATACATCCATCCATTGTGTCAAGCACAATTTTACATTTGCTGCCCTCATCATTTTCAAAACATTTGCTTTCTACTTGAGCCCTTGGTATCAGCTCCTCATTTTTCCCCTCCCTCCCCGCTCCCCCTCTCATGAACCCTTGATAATTTATTAATTTTTATTATTTTGTCATGTCTTAAACTGTCTGATGTCTCCCTTCACCCACTTCCCTGTTGTCCATCCCCCAGGGAAGGGGTTATATGTAGATCCTTATGATCGGTTTCCCCTTTCTACCGCACCTTCTCTCCACTCTCCTGGTATCGCCACTCTCAGGTGGTGAGTTTTTTATTAGTTCACCTGGGTGTGCACCACTTCCTTCAACCTTTTAAGTTCTGAACTTTGGTGGGGTTGTTAGATCGCTCCGTAACTAGATACACCTCAGTCAGAATTCACGCCGAAGCCTAGTTTGTGATCCAAGTGAGTTTTATGGGAATTAGAAGAAATTTCAGGTTTACACAGCACCCGAGAGACTCCTCCCCAGCATGCGGCCTGGCTGGAAGCGGCTCAGCGTCCCGCTCGGTGTCTGCAAAATCGTCCCAAAGTCCTTCCAAAGCTCTCTGCCGAAGTTCCCAGAGTCCTGCCCCTCAAGCCCCTCCTGACTCCGGGCTTCTGCCTTTTCAAAGATTCCACGGGGAGGCGTGGTGGAAGACCCCTGATAGACCCCATTGGCTGAATTGAATTCATCCGGCCTAGGTGGGCCAATTCAGGTTCACACCCACCCCAGCCTACCTGCGGAACCCGAGCCTCTAGGCATGTGCAGTGCACCACTCCTTTGTTCCCCTAGCTTAGCCCTCTGGGCACACGTTAACGGACATTCCCAGCTCTAGCCAACCTACCTAACAGGGTCTGTTATCAAAAGGGCAGTGTGTGCCCAGAACAAGGCCCTGTCTTTTAGAAGGGGTCAAGTCTGTGTTGTATTTGAAGGAAATTTGAAGGAGGTGCTGTATTCCCATTCTCAACACTCTGGTCTATCTACTGGAGACCCCTACCTTGTTTCCTGCTAAGAGCACACACCAGTCTGCTTTAGGGGAGCACTGGTCCCCCATTGTCCTGATTGTGTGAAGTATGGGAGTGGTTGGCATGCACGGGCATGCACTCATTGTGGAATGCCAGGGTGAGTCAAAAAGTGCTGCTATTGGGGTTACAGGTCATACGCACACAAACAAAACGTGTTTTAATACATCTGCGATGGGGGTCAACTGCAGACAAGTCCTCTCAGTCATACACAGGACTTAGTCCCCTGAGGGGGCTTCCAGAGACTGAGTCCCAGCTCAACTAGTCACGTCTGAGGGGATCTGCTGGGCCACTCAATTCAAGGCAGAGAGGTCAGCTCAAAGGTTACGATGACCGCTTGGGGAAGTTCCCAGGAGTAATCAGGACAGAGTTCCTTGGAGGACACAGAACCATCACGGGGCTTGTGATGGAGTTTTAATCAGCTGGAGAGCTGCACCAGTGACGGTCAGCGCAAGGAAGTTGTTCTGAGAACACAGTTTGCATCCAGTGCCCCTTGCATCAAGAGGATTGTCAGTGGAGACTTAGGTGAGAAGCCTGACTCCATCCACCCTCCAGGCCCCATCTTCTCCTTTTGGACTTCTTCTTGTTCCTCAAACTCAAAAGGCATTGAAAGGGAATGTGATTTGAGGTCCCCGAGGGTGCCCACACTGCTGTTCTGACGTGGCGTAAATCAACGAGCGCAGGAGTCTTCACTGAAGGTGCAGATGGAGGGCATGTCACTTGGTGTTTTTGTTTCAGAACGGTCCCTAGGGCTCAGTAGCACTGCCCTCGGGCTTACATGCCGGGGTGGGACTGTGTCGCTTGAGCATCTGGCCAAAGTCCCAGAGGCATGCTCTGTCAGGCGTTTCCTCCTGCCCCACCCTCCAGGAGAGGTGGGTGCCAGAGACCACGCTGAAGTTAGGCTAGCCCTGGCTTCCCAGCAGCAGCAGCTGTCCCCATAAAACGGGTGGGTGAACAGGAGTCTCTTCTAGGGGACAATGGCCCCTGGCCTGCGATACAGGGATTCGTGCCCAAGAACTAGGCTCTGACACACAAGCTGCCTCCTCTGGCAAGGGAGTCCCGGGACTGCAGAGCCTTCAGTCCTGCTCAGGGGCCCAGCCTCCTTCCCTCCCCACCTCCCCTCTTCACCACTGCCACCACTGCCCCCCTCGTTCTCTGCTCCATCCCCACCCCCCACCCCAGGGCCCTGTGCACAGCAGCACACTGAGAGCGTGTGCAGAAGGGCTGAGGGCTGAGAGGCTGGTGAGAGGCAGTTCTAGACCTCTACCTTCACCCGCAGCAGGTTGAGGGCAGAGCCACCTCAAGGCCTGTTTCCACAGGGTCTCACCGCGGGAGTTAGGCTTGCCCACACGGGCCTCTCAGGAGCAGCATGAGGAGGTTTACACAGGGCTGGACTTATGCCCTCATGGTCCATCCGGTCCTTCTCTGGTGAACATGTGGAGTGGAGGTTGGCCCCGTTCTCCTTCCTCCCATGGAAGACAGAAAGGGTTCTTCCTGAGGAGTCCTAGGTTGGAGGACACAGGGGTGTCCATGCCCCTTGAACCAGCCTTGGAGGGCACGTGTGTCCAGCCTGTGTGAGTCAGCCCCTCCCTGTCCTTGCCCCCCAGCTGTTGTCTAAGCCGAAGTTCAGCGGCGTGGAGAAGATCAAGACCATCGGCAGCACTTACATGGCAGCGACGGGTCTGAACGCAGTGTCCAGCCAGGATACTGCCCAGGTGAGGAGCCAACAGCCACTGGGGGTCGGAGCTGGACGGAGCCACCACCCGGCCCTGCGGGCAACCAGTGTTCAGTGTCGGTCCTCTTCTCTGGAGACTTCTATGGGTCTGTTCGCAGACCCTTCTGTGCGCTGGCAGCCAGGCTCATGAGCACGCACTGCCCGGGCTCCTGCCCTCGTGATGTGCGGGAAGGTCACTAGCAGCAGCTCAGACCCTGCACTCACACTGATGGGGGTCAGCTGGGCAAACCCACTTCCTGTGCCAACCTCACCTGGAATGGCCTCAGGCCCGGCTGCCTACACCTCTCTCCTCTCCAACCACAGAGCTGTATGGGGGTTCACTAGTCCACAGAGAGGCTGAATGAGTCACCCCACTCACTCAGAGGGCATATGCTGAAGACCCTACCCCTCAGGTCCCTCAGACTGCTGGCTAGCCCACTGCCCACTCTCCCAGTCTCCCTACTCCTGGGGGCCCCTTATCTGTTTCACACACACTGAGAGACCCCTGTCTGTGGACTGCCCACTAGGCCCCTGCCCACTCTGCCTGTTCCCCCCACCCCCAGCGCCCAGGTTTTCCTCTTCCCAGAAGTCAGGTACTGTGTGTCACAATCAGTAAGGGGACACACACAGATACACACACATGCACACACGCACACACGGTCTTGGTCTGTGACAGGTCCATGCACAGGCACAGGATTTCCATTGTCCCCAGGATTGCACCACCGTCCCCCGAAAGTCCCTGCTCCTGGAAATCCTGATGTGTATATGTGTGCAGGTGTGTGTGTGTGTGTGTG